TCTGCCTAATAAGTACAATGGTATAGGCACATTTGTCCCGTTAAAAGGGAGAATGTTCCCTTAAAGGAGGTCAGCACTCTGCCTTTCCCCCACCCTCTCTGGCTTTACCAGCTCAAGAGAAAAGCACTCAGCTGACATGAGCAAAACTGAAGGACAGTGACTTTCCCTTCTTAAATCTCAACAGGGAAGAGAAGAATTCCAAAATGTGAAGGCCTTAGCTCGTGTTGTGGTTCAACTGGCCAGACGAGGGCTTAGGGAGCGAACTGGCCTTCCCCAGCCAGGCTGTGTGGCAGCTAAGCCGCTCCACAAATCCTGGGCTTCATTACTTCTGACACAGTTGTCTCGCCGGGGCCTCGAGCTCCTTTTGTACTCAAACCAATCTGAATCCAAAGATAAGTCTTGCCTACTCATCTTGGACAAATGCTTAATTTCCTACTAAGTGATCCTAACACATTTTCATCAGGACCCACTGGTTGCTTGTGGAATTTTCCCCATCTCTCCTTGCATGGTCTTTGTGAAAAGTCCACTCGAAAGCCTGGCAAGTAACTTTCTGAATTAAGCAGTCTTCAAGGATTTATTTTTTGAACAAATAAGTACCTCCCCACCTTCCCTTCACCCTCTGGAGCAGGCTCTGCTCTCTCAATGAAGCTGGGGGTAAGCTGTGGACAGAGCCGACAGAAGTGCTTTCTTAATATTCAGAAGCAACACGCAGTGGACTAAACAAGCAAACACATGAAAGCGAGGAAATCAATACCAAAATACCCATGACCTGGCACAAAAAGAAACCTTCTCTCCAAGAATAACGCAAGAAAAAAACCCTCTCCGGCTACGAATTAGGCAAGAAGGCTTTGAAGACACCAAGTCATGTGCTCACCAAAATTAAAAGACAATGCACTTGCAGGTGAACCGGACGGGTAACCTCTCAGCCCACACTACTCCTCAGCCTCTTGTCCTTCCAAAGCCCTGAAAAATCCAACTTGGTGCTGGAGCCACACATCCCGAGACTACAGACCCTACGTATGCGTCAACTGATAAGGACAGGATCCCTTAGAAAGTAGATTTATTTTACAATAGCATTTCCGAGCAGCAAATGTAAATTGCTCAGTGTGTGCAGTTCTCCAGATACAAAGTTCAAGGGGACAACAGATTCAAAAGAGCTTCCTAATAAACTGTCAATGCAACCTAAATTCATAAAAATCCATTTTCCTTCACTTGCAAACTTCTCCTCCTAGGTTTTATAAATCCCAGAGACAGTTCCATTTAGGATTATCTTCTCTCCAATGCCCCCCCCCCACTTTTTTTTTTTTTTCTTCCTCAGTACTGGCATGCAAACCATGCTGTTTTAACTTCTTTCCTGTTCTCCCAGTTCTTCTGGAACATTTTATTTTCGACAGTCAACTCATCTGGAGGAATGCCACACTGAGGTCCAACTGTTTATAGCGTTAACTGTGTTTCTGCCAGAAGTCCACATCCAGCCCTACCTTCTCCAGACTGCCTCCTGGATTAAGAATTTATGCTTTCGTTTGGAAGAAGCTTAGAAAATGTGGAAACTTCCAAACATCACTCTTCTTCTTTACAAAGTTACTCTCACTTGTCTAAGAGGAATCAGAAATGGAAACCTGTCATCACCCTTCTTCAAGTACTGTCCCATCCCTCTCTCATGGTTAAATGTTGCACGTGCTGTTCAAACGGCATTTTAAGGATGACTTCATGTCTACTGGGGCATGGGAAATAGCTAGCCATGGGTCTGCAAGACAGAACTGGGCCTCAAGAAGATACATAGAGGGCACATTTTTGGATGAGTCTGGAACACTGGGAAGCCACCAGTCATCGTTTTAGACTGGATTTCACTCTCTTGGCCATTCATCAGTATTACAAAATGGCATCTCTGCAAGAAGCCAATTGAAATCTGTACCAGGTTGCAAAACAGATCCTCGGAGTCCAATTGTGGGCACTCTGGTAAGTTGCAGTAGACCCAGACAAACTTCCAAAGAAGGGCATTTGAAAAGGACTCCCCAGCCCTGGATGACAGAACTACAGAGAAGAGGACAATTAGAAGAAAATCACAGCTACAGACCCAAGAGCTAAAAGTCCCACAAACAGAATTGGCCTCTGGCACGTATCACTTCTATGAATGACCATGCTCGGCCCCAGGCTCCCCAACATGCTACACTCAGCTAACAAAAATCAATACTCCTGCCCCACTAGCGTGTGATTTCAGGGTTTCTCAGACAGCCTTGCACTCTGGAGAGGAGAGTTGGTGTTTCACAAACCGCTACAATCATGGGCAGTAGGGCAGTGGAAAGGGCACTGGACTGGGAGTCAGCCGACCTAAGTTCTAGGCCTGGCTTTATTACAAATGAACTCTCTGACCTGTGCAATTCACCTCACGTCTCTGTGCCAGTTTCCTCCTCAGTACAATGCAGGGGGAAGGGCAGATGTGAAGGAGGTGATCTCTCTAAGGCACAAAAAAACTAGCTTCTCAATGAAAAGTTCTGAAAGGTGACTATCAGACACTTAATATTCATCATTTAGGGTGTTACCAAGTAGTCAATTTTTAAACGATTTTTATGTTAATTTCTACTTGGGAAATAATATATTTGTCCATAACCCCCAAAATCTCAGCTTAATTCCGATGTTCCCCAGAGTTCTTTCATAATACAATCAATGCCTCTTTTCTTTTCCTCTCTTATTTTTTTAAGCAACCTTCCCCAAACTAAGACTTGTGCTATTAAAAGAGCTTAGAACTTCCCATTTCCTTGCTAGGGCTAAAATTAAACTGTCCATTCCTTAGGGCCCAACATAACATCTGCCAGATGTCTTGGCGTATCACACAAGAAGAGGAATTTTCTTCTAACATTATCTACTTTCCTCTCTGTTTGCTCATAATCAATTAATAGGTCACCAACACCCAGCTAATGTTTCCCTCAAAGCCACCAACTTCCTAAGTATGTGAACTTCAAAAGATGCTTGCTTTCACATACACACACACACACACACACACACACACACTCTCACAGACACTTGATTTTTTTTTTTTTCAGCTCACTAGATTTTAGTAATAGACACTGGAAATATTTCCCCCACTTCTTCTGAATTTCTTAGTTTCCATATACCAATATCCAATCATACACCCATGTCAGGTCCTTTCCAATCTTAGTTCATTATTTATATATTTCCTAATTTGTGAGTGTGGCATTCATTGTGAAATAGCCTCTCTATTCCCCAGCCATCAACTTGAAACATTCAATGCAGCTTTGTCAGTGTTCTGTCCTATGAGGCAGTGAACTATAAGTCTGATAAAGGCACATACCACAAAGAAGATAAGTAAGGTTACCTTAACCAAGAAACCTCAATACCAGGAAAGAATCCAAGATAGACTAGACCCTATTAAACTCCATCACACTGAAAACGGGACTCTTTCCCAAGGCAACTTTACCATTCTTTCCTTTCAGGAAAACTGACCACAAGTACTTTAAAGTCCATTAGTGCAGTTGGATTTCTTTTTTCCCCTACTGTCTTCCAGAAGACTCATTAGAAAGAAAATTTTATATATATATATATATATATATACACATATATATGCAAAATAATTATTTCACCTAAAAGTTGTCTCCAGCTCCAAAGAGTAAGGAAAAAAACAAATCCTGGAGGAATGTGATCAATGAATTAGATGGACATAAATCTAATATGAGAAGGATTATGGAATCCGAAGACCACAAGAATGTTCTTTATGGCAGTGTGCATCACAGCTCACATATACTTCTCCAGAATGATTTCTCTCTGTGATATATTAGAACAAATTAGGTAAAAACTTGCCTAACGAGCCTCATCAACTTGACGTCTCAAAAACAAAAAGGATCTCTGAGCTTTGACATCAAATGAGAAGGTTCCATTGGACACTTTTTATTTCTCTCATAGTGGTTTATCCTAAATACTTGTCCCATTTCAAATGCATATATCTAGAAAAATGCAAGAAACCATGTCTTGAATATAATGGTACTTCTCATGTTGGTGAAGAGCATCAGAGATGGATGTGTCTCTTAGGTAACCAGTTAGAACACATTCTCAAACTCCAAAATGCCTCTTAGATACCTAATTTTTTCCCTCCAGAAAACCTCAGCTCTAAGGCTGAATATCTGGTTGCAAAGTAAAAACTATGAGTCAAAAAACCTGGTTGCTGGACTGGCAACCAGTGTGTCAGCTTTTTTCCCTACTGAAAGAAGTAATTAACCAGGTTTCCTAGTATCAACATCAACAACAAAGACATCATGTAGGTTTGCTTCAAGATCAACTATAATGTACTTATGTTTACATAGACATATATGGTTAATTAGATGCAAAACTATCTGGTAATTACTTCCCCAAATAACTCTTTTTATCCCATTGCATTTGAACTTCCGAGTTTGAATATGTAGCAAATACATACATGCATTAGTAATTTTAAATATAACACTGCTGACATTCTACTTAAGAGCAAAAGTAATGGTATCAAAGAGTAACAGTCAATAAATGAATAATGAAAGGTATGATTCCAAGTAAGATTTTTTTAAGTGCTCTTGGAGAGCCCTAGATTTTTAATAAAGAAGCAGAGCTCTGAAGAGAAGTATTTTTAAATGAGCATACACATCAAATGCAAATCTTGAAAACCATACATCTTCGTCTGCAAAAACAGGGTTTTACTTCATTGACCATGGACAATTATTAGCTAAAAAAACCATGTATTTCTCCTCTCCTTTCACACCCGTCAGAAGAACAATAACCCTCAATTAATGACACCACAGTTTGGTTTGAAAAATGTGATGTTGTCATATACAGCACTGAGCATTTACTGAATGACACTGCTCCCAGTTACTCAACAGAATATAATTACATCTGGAATCTAAACACCACCTCAATCTGCACCAAAAATACTGTGGACATAAAGAACTTTACACACACACAAATCTGACACATAATGAGAAAGCAAAGCAAGAAAAAAGCTGGTATAAGTCGCTCACCAATGTGTTCCTTATTTCTGTTGAAGCTGGTACCTTGCTATATTTCTCCTTAGTTGAAAACGAGGTCCAATCAGCCTCCTTACAATATATTATTAATTGGTTCTGAATCTCCTCCAAGTTTTCATTCCACTGTGGAGCCTTCCTCACCTATCTTCAAGAGTCCGTCTAAAATTCTTCCAACATCTTCCCTCATCCTCAAGATGGCTACCTTACCTAATGGAAAAGCAACATCTTCATGGTTGGCTTTTATAAATTCCTCAAGCATTTCAGGATTTAGTTCTTTACTTGGATCAATTACATACATTCTCTAGAACTAATCTGTGAAGAACTCCAATCAGTGTGTGTGGACTGGGTAGGTTTGGGTCCTTTCTTCAAATCATCCTCACAAAATGTCTTCCTCTAAGACTAATAAATTCCTCCCAATTAGAAAGGTGAAGCTACCTGGACAGAAGGTTTTCTCAACTGACATAATACTTTAAAATTTTGTTTCCATAGTGACATTGTTAAGGAGACATCTGATATTTCTGAAGACTTAACAATACTCGAGAACACAGAGAAAAACAGCAGAATGGAAGGGAAGAGGGAAAACAAAGGAACTAAAAGAAGGCCTAATACACAAATGGAGCATCTTGAAAAGAAATGTAGACCTTCAAGAAACTGGTGTCAGCCAGTCTTAGAGTTCCTCTGAGATCTTGCAGGATTTGCTGTTGTTGCTGCTGTTTTGCAGAAATCAACCCCAACCAGACAATAAAGTCTTGCAATGCATCAAAACATGATGATAACCAAGCCCCAGAACTCCAAAAATCTCAGCTCAGGGCCACCACCATCTTCACAATGAGGAAATCACATTTCCTGGTGACTTGCAGGAGACCTGGAGCAGCTTAAAGTTGTGTGAAGACCTCAGTGGAAAAATGTTTAAGGTTTTCCTTGCCTTTCCCGAAGGAGGTCAAAACCCTCAGGTCCACTCAAAAGGAGAGAAAAAAAATTCCAAAAGTTTACTTTAAATTGGCAACAAACGCCTCCATAACTTGTGAAAGCACTCCTTAGGTGGGAGGAAAATGCGAGCAGCCCTTCCAAGCCCCTCATTTCCTTGCATAATGAACAGATAGTAAGGAGCCACCACAAGATTCACCCCCTGGAAAGGGAGAAGGAGAAGGCTGGCAGGCCTCCTCCTCCAGCCATCACCAACAGAGCTTCAAAATGGAGACATCCATAATTTTATAAACACTTCTCAGCTTTGTCTCCTGGAAACCCGCTCTCCTCCATTTTCTGGTGGAGTTACAACATGACACGGGCTTACCTGACTCAGTTCCCAGCTCTCAACCAAACTAGTTACTTCCTCAAAAATCCTGCAAGCCACCTCCAGAAACAAAACCAAAGCAAACCAAACAGCCAACACAGACACTCAGACACAGCCCCCCGGGAGCCCTGGGAGAAAGCCCCAACTGGTTGGTCTTTTCCCATCCCAGACGCGTGCTTAAAAATGAAACTTTTTTTTTTTTTCAGTAGGGGAGGAATATAAAAGGAACTCCAGGCAGCCTCCCTCCCTCTCTGTAGGTTAGAAGCTACAATGAAAAGAAAATGAGGGTTCCTCCAGGAATGGTGAAAAGCCTGGAGAATGAACGTGAGAAGAAGCTTTGTGTTTTGGAGTCTGGACTGGAACCAAAGCAGACAGCTTGCAAATGGAGGACAGGGAGATAAAGAAAGGGAAAGAGAGGGGCTGCTCCTCTGGTGGGCGGCTGCGGCTTCCCCTCGCGCCTCGAAGGAGGACAGACCCCTGGGAACTGCACCAGGAGTCAGGCGACCCCCAGGCCCCTGCTTGGGGTCTTTTCTCCCGTCCTCCGAGGAGAGCCAAGCGTGTGTAATGGCTTCTCCTCTCCAGAAACCGTTGTCCTCCTCCACCAGACGCTTCTGAACCCCCAGCCTGGAGACAGCTCCTAGCTGCTCCTGAACCTGCGCCCCCCAGCCGGCCGGCGCCCCCCGCTCCTCGCCTATCTGCTCACCGGCAGCACCGGCAGCCGCCGCCGCCGCCCCCCGACACATCCCGACCCCGCATCCCAACTTCGGGGAGAGAAGAGAGCGAGCCAAATACCTGAGGAAGAGGGGGGTGCCAATCCGCACGGCTTTGCCATCGGGCTGGGGACAAGCAGAGAGGGGGAAAGGAAGGAGAGGGACAGAGAAAGAAAGAGGTCAACCCGCTCAGGTCGGGGCGGCCGGGAGCGCTCCCTCCTCTGCCCCTCGCTCTTTCCCTCTGGCTCTCGGCTCAGGTCTCCCCGACTCCCGCCCTCCGCCCCCCTCTCTGTCCCTTACTCCTGTGCCCACACCAGGAGCATCCGTCCTAAGGCTCCAGCTCTCTCCTCACTCATCTTTTATTTTCTCTTCTCTCCATAGAACTACACGAAATTAATTAAGCCACAGCGCTCCGCTCCCCCCCGGCAGAAGGAGCAGCCAGCAGGAAAAGCACAGCCACCTCCACCGCCACCACCACCACCTTCTCCTCCTCTTCCTCCCTCGCTTCTCCTCCTCCTCCTCTTCCTCCTCCCCCTCCAGCTCTCTCTCCCTCCTCCTCCTCCCCCCCCCCTTCTCTCTCGCTTCTTCTCTTCCAACAGCCAGTCCATGCAGGGGACTTCCTCTCCTCCCCGCTCCACCAACCCTCCTTGGCCGAATGAATGAGCGCGTTTGTGCCTCCACCACCCCGTGCTCTCCTCCCCGCAGCACTCGGACCACCCCGAGGTGCTGGTTAATTGCAGTAACTTACTGAAGAAGCGTCCCGGCGCCGGGAGGTGTTTCGGGTTCTCCAGCCCCACCGCCTCCTTATCCTTTTTCTCTTTCTCCTCTTCCTGCTCGGGTTATTGTTGTGGAAGTTGTTTGGGAGTCTCATGTGCTTCTGCCGGGTCTCAGCAATGGAGGATCGCCATCTTCCCTGCCTTCCTCGGCTCTTCAGACTCGCTGCAGCTGCAGATGACCTGAGATATCCGTCTCTCTCCCTCTCCCTCTCTCTCCCTCCCTCCCTCTCCCTCTCACTCTCTCCCTCTCTCTCTCTCCTCTTCTCTCTCCTCTCCCTTTCCCTCGCGCGCTCTCTCTCTCTCCCTCTCCCTCCCTCTGTGTCTCTCTCTGAATAATGAGCAACCAGAGGGAGAGAGAAAGCAAGACAGAAAGAGAGAAGGCAGACAATCTTCTCCTGCCACACAAAACGCCGGAGCACCAGGGGGTGCGCGAAGCCTTTCTAATAACAACAACAACGCGAAGGAGAGAGAAAGAAAAAAAGAAAGAAAGAAAGAAAGAAATGAGGAAAGGGCTGGAGGGGGGGGAAAGGAAGAATTATCCAAGAGCTGAGAAGAGCAGGAGAAGGTGGAGGAGATGCTGAGGCTGCGGCTGCTGTCCCCCCTCCCCCCCCCCCCCCCCCCCCCCGCGCTGAACCCCAGAAGGAGGCAAGGTGGTTGCAAAGTTAAGGCTGGGACATTGTCTTTGTCACTCAGAGCAACACAGAGCCAGGCCAGTGAGACGCGAGAGGAGGCGGTGGCGGAGGACGAGGTGGTGGTGGAGGAGGAGGAGGAAGAGGAGGAGAAGGAGGCAAAGGAGGAGGAGAAGGGGAAGAGGCAGATGAGATGAATAAAGACCTGCGGAGAAGGCGGTGCGAGGAGCGCGGCGGCCGGGCTGAGGCGTGCGCGCTCGCGTCCCGGAGGCGCCCGGCCGCCCCGGCCGGCAGAGGAAGCCCCCAGTGAGGACCCTGCCCGGTCGCTCATAGCGCTCCCACCATCAGCCCTGCCCGAGGCGCCGAGCCCCGGCCCCAAAGAGTCCCTCGCACGCATCCATCTAGAGGCCAATCTTTGCAAAGAACACACATTGGGAACTAGAGGTTGCAAGTCTAAACCCAGATCAACCACGTGGGGCTTTTTAATCCCTTTCCAGCTTGCGGTGTATCTCCAGTGAAAAGCTCAAATTGTCCATTACTGACACGTATTTTGAAGTCTTCTCCTCCGAAATAAAGGCTCATTGTGTATTTTATTTCTTTTCTGATATGGTAAGGGAAGGTTGAGGGAGGAAAGAACCCATCATTCTGAGCCCCGGAACCAGCACTTTCTTTTCCTAACTTGTGAAGTGTTTTGACGGCGCAACAAAACGGGGGGGAAAAAAAGCCTACTTAAATAACTTTACACTCTCCAGCCCCGCGGTGCTTGCACTTTCTGGCTGATCATCCAAAAGCTCGGAAAGTAACAATCAGAGCTCCTAATGATAAGGTGTCATGGTGTTGAAGACAAGAGAGCCAAGATGAAGCTTTCACACCTTGAATTTTTATTTAGTGTAATTTCCCACAAATCGTTCTGAACTGTTTAGTTTGCAAAGGAGTGGGTTTACCCTCCTCTCTCACTAGGTTTAATGTCTCCTAAGGCTTTAATCTGATGGTGGGGAGGGGGCGGGGGGTGGTGCCTACAGTATAAAAAAATCAATATAGCAAGTCAGAAGCAATTGTAAGTTCAAGGGCATGGGCTGCTTGTACCATTTCTATTTCTCGCATCCTCGAGCTGGACATCAACAGCCTCGGGAGAGAGAAACACGCAGCGCGCGGGGCAGAGACCTTAATTAAAGTTTCTTTTGTCCGCGTCTGAATTGGGGGATGTTGCTGGATTCCTTTGCATTGGGGAGCGCGCATCCGGTGGAGAAGGCGCGGTGGGGAGGATCCAGGGCAAGACTGTCCTCTGTAATACTCACTACCTCCCCCGCAAACCCAACAACAGTCCGGGAAGATATCCCTGTAAACCCACACAATGAAGGGGAGGAGGAGACGCGCGCGGAGTTGGTTCCCACCAGACAGCGGGGTTTTATAAACAGATCGGAATCCTTTTCCAAGCTTTTCCCCAATCGTTTATTCCGGGGCAGAATCTCTCACCCAGAGACACGATTTCACCCCCTTCCAGTCAACACTTCCTGCCCTTTTCTCCTCCCACTCACATTGAAAAGCTTGGGAGCCCTAAAAGGGTGTTGATGGCGGGGGTGATAAATAAATAAATAAATGACACTCTACGCGTGCGGTGGAGGAGAAAGGAGGGGGAGGGAGAGGCAAAGCGAGGAGAGGGAAGAGAAAAAGTAGGGAGAGGAGAACCAAGAGGAGAAAGCTCAGAGGCGAAAGGGAAACAGTAGTCAAAGCAAGAAGAGAAAGAAGAAAGGAGAGAGGAGGACGGTAAGGCTGTTCAGGACTGAAATGACCCTGGCTTTGAACAGACTTGGGAGGACTCCCAGTCCAGGTGCCTGGAAGGACTTGGGGATAGTCCTTCTGCCCCGAGCTCCTCCCCCACCCCACCCCCGGGACCCCAGGGGTGTCTGAGCCCTGGCCGCCGCTCCCCCATAAATTCCTCGTGGCACCGAGAGGAAGCACGCCAGGTCTCCGCCGTCCCTTCACTGCCCCGGCTGATAATTTACCTCTTTGTCTTTAATAAAAAGCTGACTTTTTCTGTCAAGCTCTGCACCGGGAAAGTAACAATCGTATTTCAGGTTGAAAGCTTCTATTACTGCTGGGTTTTGGAGGCTGTGATAAAATCTTCATCGACGTGAAGGTTCCTTCTGGTTGGCTTGGGTCGGAAGTCCTAAGATGGGGGCCGCCCTTCCCCGGGGGCAGGGGGGCAGGGGCGCGGGGAACCCGGCGGTGCGGAGGGAGGAGGAAGCGACGAGGTCAGAGGAAACCCAAGACTCCTGGGGCACCAAAGGGCTTCCCGCAGTCGGGGAATGAGCCCTGGGGAGGAGCCTTTCGCGAGAACGTGAGCGCGCCCCAACACGCCTCAGACCTCATAAACCCACTTGGCAAAGACCGGGGAAGCGGCTGGCGGACCGACTGCGGTGAACTCAAGAAATTAACCTTGCGCTGCAATTAAACGGGCTGCCGCCCTTTCAGACTCACCTCGAGCGACCGTGATAGCTCCCGAACCGGCCGCGGGGGGACCTGGCTCCTCCCTCCCGTCCCAGGAGAAGAGGACAAAAAGGGGAGATGGACTTGGAGATGGCCCCGCCCTTCAAACGCTCCAATCCTTGGAAACTAAACCTCCTCTCCAAGCCTCCACGTCTAGAAGGGACAAAGGCAGCGAGGAGATCCAGAGACCGATGGGGGAGATAGGTGGCTTTCGGGCTTCTCAAGTGGGTGCTTTGGGCGAAAGGTACAATGGCCGAGTTTCCATTCCAAATACAGGATAGTCTTTAGAAGACCATCTTCTGGTTTAGAAGCAAATTGACTTACCAAAGCCGTGAAGCAAACTACTGCAAAACTCCCGCATTGCCCTGCTTTTTGAATGTGGAGGGCTAAAATTTCAGTTAACGATGCCATACACAAATTTTTCGACTTTTTTTGAAGTCACAAGTGTCTTAACTATCCATCTAAGATAATTGAAAGAAATTAGCATGAAAGAAATAAACATGGTGGGGGAGTGGGCTTTTTGTTTGCCTGCTTTTTTTTTTAATAGGGGGTAGCTTTCTTTCAAATGATAAGGCATTTGGATAAATAAAAGCTAGGTCACTCAAGGAAAAGTGTGTGGCTGAAGGTTTTAGTGAAAACCTTGACAAACTTGGCACTTAAGTAAGTGTAATTATGCTTTGCCATTAGCGGACCATTAAGATATACAGGAGAAAGTTCACACCTCCTGCTGTTTCATTCCCTAAGAATATTCACAAAGATAATACAAGCCTCCTTGGGTTATCCTCTCCACCAGGAGGGTTAATTTCTAAAATTTTTAATTAAAATGGAAAAGCTTAGGTTTTGTACACAGGCAACAATGTGAGGCAAGTCTCGTGGGGACACATTGGCTTTGTGAAATTTGCCTTTTGTTACTGTACCCTATGCCATTATTCCCCTGGAGTCATATGGGATTTCAAGACTTTGTTAATGTTCCAGGAAGTATGAATACGTGGGAAGTCTGGACTTTCTTCTCCCTTATCATGGGTGACTGGCATACAGACTCCTCATAAAGGGAAATTATGGCTCATCAAAAGAGTGACTTTATGAGCATTAATAGAATAATAAATCTTGCCATTTTAGTTCAAGAAACAGTGGAGTCCTATAATCAGAGTGACGCATGCAAATATGATCCGCTTACTTGCCCAACTCTAGCAGGATAGGGATAGTCTATAAATCATTTTGGTTTTTAAAGGTTAGGAAAGGAAAGTGCCCAGACCTCTCCAAAGTGTTTATGGGGGGAAAGGGGACTTCTATCGCCTACAGGAAGGAATCATGGAAAGAAGGAAGAGTTGGTCCAGAGGCTACATTAAAAAGATAGAATTTCAACTGAAACAAGAGTGAATAGATGTTTTAATGTCATGGTTTCAATATTTACATTATATCATATAAAAAAGGAAAAGTCCTGCTTCCTGAAAACTATGCAAAAAAAATTTCCAGTTTATAATCCCACTTTCTAAATTCCAGTTGGAAAACTGTTCAGGCTGATGATTTTAGCAAAACAAGGAGTAGATGAATAGAGAGTATGGCTTTTTCAGAAGTCTTAATTATTCCGGCTTT